CCAACAACAAGAGCAATACTACTCAACGATTGCTACAACTCTCTATGATTCATTACACATCATTGCTCCTTAGTTACTGGGCTGATATGACCACATAGCATATCTCTACAACCCTCTATGATTCATTACATGACATCACTCCTTAGTTACTGGGCTAATACTACACATGACATGTCTCTATCAACTAGAGGCCTAGGAACATGAACGATAGCTCCAAAAGCTTCTACAACCCTCTATGATTCATTACACATCATCGCTCCTTAGTTACCTACAAGATTGGTTAAGTTATGACATAATCTGTCTATAGGGGTACTCTGACCTTGGACCGCCTTTCACTTCCTATAGGCTAGGAACCTAGGAGATGGTTCTATTGGATTCTCTTACGTCGACTACAGTTACCAAGCCTGGTTAGTCATGGAAAGTCTTGGAAAATGAGAGAACTACACTCCTTTAGCATAAATAGGATTGCCCTTTCCTTAAGAAAGGGCAAGCAGACAATACAGTAAATCGACTATCACATACTTCCACATCTTTTCCAAGCTTCCAAGCATTGATCTTGTTACTGCTTGTTTCTGAAAAGTCAGTGAGGTGCTAAGCTCTGACTTATCCCTAAGTTCTCAGACTCAACATTTGTTACAACTTGTCTAAACCACTCCACTACATCATACACCTGATTGCTGCGTTGTGGAATAGTCTAAGCTACGACCCATTGGCTCTGTTTCCTAAGACAGTGTGTTGTCTTAGTAAAATCATCCCTTCCTTGGGTGGCTAGATTCTCACATCTGGTGCACCCACCATTACACCAGTAATACTGCCTTTTAACAACTAGCATCATCTTCCCAACCCCTAGATGTCCCAATTGCTAGCTGGTCATGGACTTCTTGTAGAAATTCTACCTAAACGCTTTCTGATACCCATATTCAGTTTTGATAATATAGAAGCCCTTCTTTTGCCTCGCAGTAGGCTAGAGCTATGTCTGGACTATGCCGTTCTTTGTTCTGTTGTCTTTGGAGTGTGTTGGTGCATACTGGATCTTGTAGCTGTGCAGCTCAAATCTTGTCGTAGATGCTTTGATCTTGCTGTAGAATCGGTGCTAATTGAGCATCTTGTGTCTGCTCTTGACTTTGGAGTTCCATCTGCTGTACTAGTTCTAGGTGTAGTTTTGTCATTAGTAGCATTGTTTGAAGTTGCTGCTTTTGTCGGTCATCCTCCTTATTACCTTCTAGTCAATCCCCTAGCCTACAAGTAAGGGCATCTGCTTTCCCATTCTGTTTGCCAGGTCGGTATGCAATTTGAAAGTTGTAACGAGAGAGAAACTCTGCCTAATAAGTTTGTCGCCTAGTAAGCTTCTTAGTGCTTATAAAGTACTTAAGGCTCTTGTGGTCTGATAGGACTTAGACTGGCATTGCTATGCCTTCAATCTCTATTCTCCATGCTTCAAAATACTGAATAATCGCAAGGACTCCTTGTCATAGATCTCGTAGTTGCATTCTACAGGTGCCATTTTCTTAGAGAAGAAGGCAACTGGATGTAGGATTCCCTTGTGATCTTTCTATGACAGTACCCTAAAGGAAATAAAATCTAAGGCATCAGCTTCAACATAGGCTGTCTTCTCTCTATCAAAATGTCGTAAGACTAGGGCTTCTATGACAGTCTTTTTTAGAAGCGTGAATGCTTCCTAACATGCTTCTGTCCATTCGAAGACATGGTCTTTTTTTCGTTAAGTTGACGAGTGGTTTCATGATGTTTGAATAGTTCTTAATAAACCTTCGATAGAACACACAGAATCTGATAAAAGCTTGCGTGTCCTGTAATGATTTTGGTGCTTTCCAATCAAGTATAGTGTTTACCTTTCTAGGATCTATGCGAATTCCATTAACTCTAATGATGAGTCCTATGAATTTTGTCTCTTGAACAAAGATTTGCATTTTGCTATATCTGCTTTTAGTCCTGCTTCTCGAAGCTTTTGTAGAACCATTTTGACATGCTTAATATGTTCCTCCTTACTTGTGCTATAGACGAGAAGATCATCCATGTATGCAGTGACGAATTTGTTTATGTATTCCATTAATGTTTTATTCATATATCATTGGAATGTTGCTAGGCCATTCGTAAGTCCAAATGGGAGAACTTTGTAAACACAGTGAGAACTGCTAGCATATAGACATTGTCCTAGCAACGATTGAGAGTTTTGAGGCAGATCTTAATGAGGATACACAGGATATTGTGGGGTTGAGAGAATAGATTGAAAGAGAAGTCAGGCTTATAGGGACCCTTTTTATACAATGGTTCAGGGAAGTGGCAATATAGGACCAAGGAAGAGAGATCTAGTTCCCAAGGTGCACACTAATGACAGCGAAGTCGCAAAGCTGCTCATCAGGGTTGTCAGCTCTTAAGATAGTCCTTTATTTTTGCCTTGGTGTATTATAGCTAATAAGGGTGTGACCTTAATATACCTTAGGTAATTAAGGCTCTAGCTACTTGATTTAACGTGGTTTATCAGTACGTCGGACATATCAGTACCTCGGACACTTTTCATTGGCATTCTACTTTGAATATCAATAAATCAACCATAACATATTAAATTAAGATGAACTAGACATATCTATAGCTTCTTGACAAGTTCGCGCATTATGACCAGCTTTTCCACAGATCCCACAGCATCGCCTAGACGGTTGCCCCTCCTTGCGACTACTCCCAACCGCACGTACGTCGCGTCGTACCTGCTCATCCACATCCTTCTGTGCGATAATAGCCTGTGCATCCTCTACTATAAGTGCACCTCCTTCATGGACACCAGCCTTTTTAGCCCTGCGGCATTTGCTAAGGGCTTCGTTGGCTGCTCGAAGGGTACGTACCTCAGCAGACAGAAGGGTGTTCTCATGTGCTAGTCGCTCCGTACCCTTTGCCAATGCAATAACTGTCCCGAAGAGTGGAGTTGGCGAGCTTCCTTGGTGACGGGCAATTCGATTTCGAACGAGGGTTGTTTGTGAAAGAGCTTCAGTTGGGTTGGAAGGGGTCTGGGAGACCCAAGGGTTGGTGTTGGCAGTAGAGGGTCTAGAGGGAGTTGGAGTCCGTAACCTCACGTCAAGCTTTGAAAGCACTGCTTGCAGGTCGAAAGGCACTAAGCCAGCTCCGCGGAACCCGGACTGGGCGTTTTGGGCTGTCATGGATTCCAGATATGCTGCTCTAAAGGCAAGAAAGAACTCGACCTTGGTAATGTGGTTGATATGAGCCTTAATGAAGGTCTCAATCTGCCGACCATATGCCCGCTTCAACACACTAAAGCACCCGACATCAAGTGGCTGAGTTAAATGAGACGAGTGGGGAGGTAGTCCAAGAGTTATAATGTTGTGTGCCTTGCAGTACTCTTGGAACTCGGCCGATTCATGACTCTCATGCCCGTCTAACACCAGCATTCGATATGGACCCCTTGCACGAACAGCAGTATGTTTGTCGAAGTGTTTCAACCATTCTAGACCCGTCTCATTGTTTGTCCATCCATTGCTTGTCAGTTTAACAACCCAGTTGTGTGGAAGGCCGCCGTCTGTATACCAATTTGCAAGATGATTCTTGCCTTTAACTACCAAAAATGGAGGAATACTCCAGCCGTCACTGTTGATACAAGCAATCGCTGTAGCCCATTCCCGATTCCCTGGCTGAACTGCCTTACCTCTGCCAAGTCGATCTGCACGGGTAACAACCATTGCAGGGCAAATCACACCCATCATAAACCCAGTTTCGTCAAAGTTATAGAAGTCGCAGTCCAAAACACCATATTTTGCCCTCATATTTTCCACTAGTCGAAACCACGCGCCAATTAGTTCAGGATCTTCGCACAAGGCCCTTTGGAAGTCGTAAACGCGATTAAAACGCATCTTTAATTCTGGACGTCGTTGTACAAATCGGTGGGCCCAGAGCTTCCCGACGCGCCTCCCTCCACGCGATTCGAGTATAAAATTTGCCATATCTTCTACACCAGCAAGCCGGGGTGCAAATCCTCTTGAATCCATATCAAGTATATTCCGAATAACCACCTCCTCTTCTAGTATAGTTAATTTCATCATTGCAGGCCGGCGTTCGTAGACAGTAGTTCGGCCGTTCATTCTGTCGCAGAGTGTAGAATGAGGTACTTCATAGAGCTTAGCAGCCTTCCGACGACTTAGATTTTTTGATGTTCGGATAGCCTCAATAGCTAGAATGATTTTTGCTTCTTGGGTAATCACTGACATAATAAAAGGTGGAAAAAACGCGTTGTGAAGTTAGAGGGTAGGAAATTCGGGAAAAGTGTCCGAGGTACTGATATGTCCGACGTACTGATAAACCACGTTATACAACTTACTTACTTAAATACTCACCATACTATTTATCCCCCTTTATAAAAGCGCCAGGTTATATATACACGTTTAACTGTTTTATACAGCAGTGTTATTAGACAAAACTAGCCACTGGTAGCCTTAGAACCACTCGCATAATATAGTAGCTAGTTATCAAGTTTCCATTAACAGAAACTTCAAAGTCACTTACCATCGCACCTCTAGTAGAGATGCCTAATCCTCGCAAGTCTACAGTCGGCCGTGCAAGATATTAACGATGGGTCGGCCCTAGTATCGTTACTCCTCCTAGACCTATTCTATATAATAAACAGGGTGGGCGAGGAGAGAAAATGTGAGAGTTAGAGAATATCAGGGAGACCAATCCTTTTTTTATCATATAACTTGCAATACTGCTACGCCAGATAACTACCACACTGACCGTCTCGTCCCCTGTATCCATCTATTAACTCACGGAACTCAAATTTTATAGCATCCGTAAGAGCATGCATAATATAGTATAGTACCAGAGTATTTATGAGTGAGCAGTAGTAGTAGTAGCATTATCCATCCCCCCCCCATCTTAATCCCTCCATTGTATATCACCACCACCTCCCCTCCTCCGATGAACCATAGCAAGCGCGTGCGCGTTTCGTACATATAAATACCCCCCCTCCCCTCTCCAATCCTCCTTTCATAATAATCTCCTTTCCCACACCATGCCCCTAGAAACGAAGCGAAACGAAACGAATTGAAAGGGAGCGAATCGGAACGTGGGATCGAAACCGTCTGAACTCAAAAGTGATGGAGTGGAAATGGAAAAAAAGACAAGAAAAGCAGAACGCGTCACCCCATAAAACCAAAAAACAAGGCGCTCGTTGCGCATCAAATCATCCAAAATCCTCATCATCGAAAGCCCCCCCCCCCTTTTCCAAAAAAAAGATGGGAGTATAAGCAACCATTAAATTGTTTCTGTCTGGGCCATTAAAAGAAGAAGTAGAAGCATAAAGGCAAGAACACCGTAAAACCCCTCCAGTTTGTAGCCCAAATACCAGCTATCAAAATTTCCATTCCAGACACCCCATTCACCCCTACGCACTCGTGACGCCGTAGCATGCCACGTTCCCTTTCCATTCCGTTTCCCATTTTACTCATGTCATTCCAATCCACCCCAGATCCCGTCCCCGTCCCAGTGCAAGCCAAGTACCTAGTAAAAGCCCTGCGCGCGCTGCGTGCTCAAGTCCCCTTAGTCAGCGGGAAAGCCTGGAACCCCCCCGGCGCAAACATCGTATCCAGCACATCCTTAAAATCCGTCTCCTGAATGACAGGGCCCTCACCGCTACACTTGGCTTTCTGCTGGAGTTGCGAGCACAGGCTGTCCATGTCGATCTCGCCGTTCTGGACGGCGGGGCAGGCTTGGATTTGTTCCCTAGCGAACTTGTTAGTCTGCGTTTCTAATGCAGCTATTTTAGGATGGGGGACATACCACATATTCGTGCACGTGAGCATCTCGCTCGCAGCAGGTACCACCTCCTCCTCACCAAGCTGTGCGTCAATCTCCCCAATCAAATCCTTCTTCCCTCCCTGGTGGTGCTGCTGCTGCGTCGTCTGCTGGGTCTGCTGCGACTGCGGCGTAGCATCCAACGTAAACGGACTCCCCGAGAACTCCCCAGGGATAGCAAACGCCTCAGTAAAAAACGAATCATCATACAACCCCGTCAGGATATTATCATGCGGCTCGCGATAATCCCCAAACAGCTGCGGATCGAACTGGTTCCCGTTCTGCGCCGCCAGCCAGTCGAGGGAATTGATGTCGAAGGAGGAGTTAGAAGCGGGGGTGGGTGCGGTGGTGGAGGGGGCGAGAGGGGGAGAGGTCATGGTGCGTGGGATTGGTTGGGAGGCAGAGCCGCAGACTTGCGAGAGCTTGGAGTAGAAGGAGGATTGGCTGTCGATTGCCGGGTCGGCGTGGGATTCCTCGCCGATGGTGGAGAGTGTTGTGGTTGCGGCTGCGGCGGCGGCGGCGGCGGTTTTGGATGCGGGAGGGGATTGCGTGTAGGGTTCAGGCGAGGTGTCGCACGAGGAGCTGGTGCCGTGGTGGGAGTTGGAGGAGGTGGGGGAGGAGTGTGATGTGTTGTGACCGGTGCTGGTTGGGCCACTGCCGGAGTCGGCGCTGGAGGCGGAGGTGCTGCCTTTGTTGTGGTGGACCATGTAGTCGAAGTTGCCGTTGGTCATTCCCTCGAGCGCCGCGCCGTTGCCGGAGTAGTTGTTGTTGGACTGGTTTGTGTTGGCGAGGTTCTGGTTCGAGCCGAAGCTGAGGGAGTTGCGCGAACCGCTGTCTAGGGGGCTGAGGTTGCTTGTGAAGCTTGTTGAGCGGGATGGGGCTTCGCCGGGTGATGTCGTTGACTTGGAAGGCTTGCTGAGAACGGGAGGTCCGGGGAGCTGGCCGAACTTGGGGAACTCAAAGGAGAAGTTGACGTCGTTGGGGTTGTGGGGGGCCTGACTCGCCTTCTGATACGTCGACAGCATGGGCATCAGAGGGTTTCCAGTCTGCCGGCTCACCGCAGCCTGCTTGTATTCCTTCAGCTCCGCGGTCATCTTGTCCACCTTGGCGCGCAAGATGAGATTCTCATGGTTCGCCGCCTCGGATGCCTTCTCCAGATCCTGAACCTTAGTCTCGAGGTCCTTGAGGTGCTTCTCCTTGCGCTCACGGAAAGCACGTTGTGCCGCGCGGTTCTGCGCCTTGCGTTTCTACATCAAAATAGTCAGAACTCAGTTCGTCGACAGCGGAGCAGCGAAGGCTTACCGATGTCGGTTCTGAAGTTAGTGGCTTCCTCCCCAGCTTCTTGGACGTCTTATCGTCGCCATCCCTGCGCTTGCCATCCGGCTCATCGTCGTTCTCCTCGTCGTCCGACAGGCCGCGCTTGTCGTGGGACTCGTTCGCCCCCGCATCGCCATCCGATGACGTACCGGGCAGGTTGCCAATCATCTGGCCCTGCGGGAGGTTGCTGAAGTCGTACTCGCCATAGCTGGCGTCGTTGTCGAAGTCGTAGTCGTAATCGATGAACGGGCTCTCGTTGAGGTTCGTCAGGCTCCCGGATCCGGGCGCCTGGAGCGGCGATGTGGTGGTGTTGTCAAAGGCGGCAGGAGCAATGGTCTGGGCGTCGCCGTTCTGCTGGTCCGCCGCAGTGGTGCGGTTGGAATTGAGGGCGGTGAAGAGGAGGTCCTGCTGGTGGGGGAAGAGGATGAAATTCGGCGCATGGAAGCCGTTGGTGGTAGCGGAGGCCATTTCGTCGGTGTGCCGCGAGGTTGTCGTTGTCTGGAGATGTTTTGGTGAACGAACGAGAGAGAGAGAGGGTTTGAGGCGGGACTCAGCCAGCGAGATTCCGGTGAGTTCAGGAGCGGGTTTTGGTGTGAGGGTTGGAAGAGAGAAGAGAAGAGGCGGGAAGCGGGATGGGTGGGGTGGTGGGTGGTGGTTGAAGGGTAGTGGTAGTGGTAGTGGTGGTGTAGTGGTGGGTGGTAGTGGTGGTGGTAGTCTACCAGTGGTGGTGGTAGTGGTGGTAGTGGTGGTGTGGTAGTGGTGGTGTGGTGGTGGTGGTGGTAGTAGTGGGAGTAGTCGGTGGTAGTGGGTCGGTGGTAGTGGGAGTAGTGGGAGTAGTGGGAGTAGTTGGTGGTAAGGGAGTCGGTGGTACTGCGAGTAGTCGGCGGTACTGCGAGTAAGTGCGAGTTAAGTGGCGAACGAACGGAAAGTAAGGTGCAGTGCAGTGCAGTGCAGTGAAGAATCACACCCCTAAACCAAAACCCCCAAAACCCCTAAACCCCCCAATCCCTAGCAGGGACTCATTATACTCACCGTATGTCCACCCGCCCACTACCCCGCCCATGGGGTCGTTGATTTATCAGCAACGGTGTGGTACGTACATGGAGGTTGAGGCCTGGTCGTTGGGATTTCAAAAAAGAGTACAGAGGGTCTTTGTGCTGAGAGGCGGGCGATGATTGGACGACAGGGGTACGGGAGTGAAGGAGGGGGGATTAAACGGCACCTGTTACCTAACAGGTAATATGCAAAAGGGAAACATAATCCTTGTTAGTGGAAAAGTTTATTGCCGCGCTGCAATGCCTGATGGAAGTTTGTGTAAAGTCAATGTCAAGTCGCATAATGTTACGCTAATAACTAAGTATGATTCATACTCTGAATACTAGGATCTAGATATTCACAATACTTAACACCTAAACAATTGAATGTTGACCGAATACAGTTTGTATTCAAAAAGGCACAGAAGGATTGCTTATCAGGATATCTAAGTTTTTTGCAATATTGCATCTAATATAACGTACATGTATAGCGAAAGCGCCAAACAAGCGAAAGCGCCAAAATTATCTACCCTCACGACAAACATTGCGATAAATCTACCACAACATTAGAAATCAATTGAAACTACTCGGAGTCCTCTTCCTCAGAGGTGTCTATTACAATCTGACACGTGCGCGCATTGTGCCCAGTCTCACCACACTTGCCACAGCGACGGGCACGGGTTTCTTCCCTTGGCTTCCGACCACGGCTTGCCCTTATTTCCTGCTCTACCTGCTGCACAACATCCCTCTCATCCTGTAGCTCTTGCGCCCCTTGTTGACTAAGTGATCCTCCTTGCTGTAGTCGTGTTTTCCTAGCTCTCCGGCGCTTGCTTAGTACTTCATTTGCCTGTCGTAGGTTTTGGTTCTCTCCCTTTAGCAGTGCTAATTGATGCATTATTTGCGATGCACCCTTTGTAAACTGGTCAACAGCTGCATAGATTGAGGTTGGAGAGCTATTTTGATGGCGTGAAATCCGAGTTTTAATAAATGTAGACTGTGACATAGCTTCAATTGGGTTGTTTGGTGTCTGAGAAACCCAAGGTTGAGCAGTACCTGGGCGGGAGCTTGGAGGCGTTGGTGTCCTTAACTTAAGATCAAGTGTAGATATCACTCTCTCAGGGTCAAATGGAAGAAGCCCTGCCCCTCGGAACCCGCCTCAAATGTTACTTTCTGTCATTGTAGTGTTAAATGCAGCGTGGAAGGCAGGAAAGAAGTCATCCTTTGTAATATGAGAAATATGAGCCTGCATCATATCTTCAATTTGCCGACCATAGGCCTGCTTTAACGGGCCGAAACAGCCAACATCAAGTGGCTGGAGTAGATGAGAAGAGTGAGCAGGCATACAAAGCGTAATAATGTTGTGTTCCTTGCAGTACTCCTCAAACTCATCTGAGTGGTGGCTCTCATGACCATCAAGGACTAACAAGCGATAACCACCAACACTCCGGGCCTTTGTATGCTTCTCAAAGTGCTGAATCCAATCCATGCCTCTCTCGTTTGTAGTCCAGCCATTTTCAGTAACAGAAATCACCCAATCGCTTGAAAATCCACTATTCTCATACCAAGATGTAAGGTGGTTTTTGCCTGCAACAATGATAAATGGTGGTACTGCCCAACCTTGAGAACTAACGCCTTGGATTACTGTAACCCATTCCCGATTACCAGGCTGTACCTTCTTTGCTTTTGCCCGCCCGTCTGAGCTTGTTACAACCATAGCAGTTGAGATAACGCCCATCATAAACCCAGTCTCATCAAAGTTGTAGATATCTGCTTCATCGATACCATATTTCGCAATTGTGTTACGCACAAGCTCAAACCAGCCATTAATAACTTCTGGATCTTCGCACTTAGCCCTCTGGTAGTCGTATTTGCGCTGAAAGCGTGTCTGGAGCTCTACACGCCGCTTAACAAAGTTTGAAGCCCAACGCGACCCAACGCGTGACGCGTCGCGTGTTGCAAGTAGTCGACTTGCCATATCTTCAACAACAGACAGCCGAGGAGGAAACCCTTTGGCAGCTAGGTCGAGTATATACTGAACAAGGACGGACTCCTCTAGGTTAGTTAATTTCCGTGAGTTGGCTTGGATATCGCGTCGTGAAGGTACACCTTCTAGACGACGACCTAGCTTGTGGTGGTCCACAGAATAGATCCTAGCAGCAACTCGAAGGCGTAACTTTGGGTCGCTTTGCATAGCCTGGATAGCTAGCACTAATTGGCTTTCATCGTTTTTATGGGGCATGTTTTGTTGTTGAGGAATTTAACATTTAGTTGGGGGGTTTGGTCACCGCATCATTTTGGCGCTTTCGCTTGTTTGGCGCTTTCGCTATACATGTACGTTATTAGTAATGAATTCTTAATGTATTATATAAACTTACATTCTGAACAGTAGGAACCTGTTGGCTAGTTGTCATACCCCTAGTATTAACAAGATATCCAACACCTAAATTAAGAGTATGTAGAAAGTTAGGTAAAGAGGTAGAAGTAATAATCTTCTTAACAGTAATTGCTTTACCATTGTTGGCGCATGAGATCAAGGTTGAATCCTAATAAAATAAGTAATATATTCGTAATAACGTACATGCATAGCGAAAGCTCTAGCATAGCGAACGCTCTATCCCACTACAATTTACCATCTTCCACCTTCTAACCTCGTTTTCTCCATCACCTAACATGCCTCAAAAAAATGATAATACTCAATTAAACTTAACGTGGTTTACCACCAAACGGAACATCCCACCAAATGAAACACTTTCCGATAGCATCGCAACCTCAAACCCAATTACTCCACCACACCACAACAAAAAGATGCCTCAGAAAGCTAATGAAGGCCGAGTTTTACTAGCCATTCAAGCTACCAAATCACCCCACAAACTGTCCATCCGACGTGCTGCGCAGCTATATGAGGTCCCACATGTAACACTTACCCGTCGCATACACGGAAGCCAACCACGAGCTGGTAGACGCGACAAACAATGTCCATTGATGTCATACTGACATTCGTTGCACTCAGTTTGCTATCAAACTCAAGAGCAAACTTAGAAATCTCCTCCTCAAACCTACAAGTCACCATACATATCTTGGCTTATCACACCAACAACAGAAGCAATACTACTCAACGATTGCTGCAAACTCTTCTACTACATCTGTTTATGCTACATACATCACGGCATATCATTTGGACACTCATTGAACAAGTTATTAAGAAAATCTCCTCCTTAAGGGGGTGGGCCAATACTACCACATGGCATATCTCTACCAACTAGAGGCCTAGGAACATGAACGATAGCTCTAGAAGCTTCTACAACCCTCTATGATTCATTACACGTCATCGCTCCTTAGTTACCCACAAGATTGGTTAAGTTATGACATAATTTGTCTATAGGTACTCTGACCTTGGACCTCCTTTTCACTTCCTATAGGCTAGGAACCCAAGAGATGGTTCTATGGGATTCTCTTACGTTCACTACATGATTAGCAAGCTAGTTGTGGGTCGCACTTGATTTCTAATACATTTACCAAGCCTGGTTAGTCATGGAAAGTCATGGAAAATGAGAGAACTACACTCCTTTGGCATAAATAGGATTGCCCTTTCCTTAAGAAAGGGCAAGCAGGCAATACAGTAAATCGACTAGCACATACTTCCACGTCTTTTCCAAGCTTCCAAGCATTGATCTTGTTATTCTCTGTTTTTGAAAAGTCAGTGAGGTGCTAACCTCTGACTTACCCCTGAGTTCTCAGACTCAACATTTGTTGCAACTTGTCTAAACCACTTCACCACATCATACACCTGATTGCTGCGTTGTGGAATAGTCTAAGCTACAACCCTTTGGCTCTGTTTCCTAAGACAGTGTGTTGTCTTAGTAAATTCATCCCTTCCTTGGGTGGCTAGATTCTCATATCTGGTGCACCCACCATTACACAAATGACCCTTATACAAGAGGAGGTCCGTACCCTTCGAAAGGCCAACACAGCACTTTCAAAGCGTCGGAAAGCCAAGCGTACACGTGTCCAAGATGGAGGGTCACTTACTATAGAAGATGCTCAAAAACTGATCGCTGAAAAAGAGGATAAAGGGTTGAAACGACAGAAAAGGTCAAATGAGGAGGGTGCTGTAGAGGCTGGTCCATCGACTTCGCGGCGCTGTGGGAGGTGCGGCAAGACTGGGCATAATGTACGAACCTGTCAAGAGGTTGAAGAGATATTAGGAGAAGAGAATTCAATTGAGTGTAGTTAATTTTATTGTGTTAGGGTGGAGTAATTGGGTTTGAGGTTGCGATGCTATCGGAAAGTGTTTCATTTGGTGGGATGTTCCGTTTGGTGGTAAACCACGTTAGCCTTATTAGCTATTAAGAATGATTCTTCATTAAGTCTTAGGCACTAGCTGATATCTACAGGGTACACCATACAAAGCTAAGCTGTCGTATAGATGGAAAGTAGTCATGACGCGACTAAGTAGCCAACTTGAGGAAATTGACCAATCTAGAAGAGTCTGTTATTATTCAATACATACTCAACTTAGATTTGAAAGGATTCCCTCCTAGACTTTGTGGTGTGGAAGATATGGCCAACCACATCCTTATAGACTGTGATGCACTAGCATTAGACCGCGTTAGGCTTCAAACTTCATTAGGCAACAACCAGCACTTAACACGCATATTAACCGAAAATATGACTATCATAGGGCTAAATGTGAAGATCCAAAGCTTATTCATAGTTGGTTTATGCTTGTGCAGAACACAATTGCGAAATACACTATTTAAGATGTAGACATCTACAACTTCGATGAGACTTGTCATACTGACATTCGTTGCACTCAGTTTGCTATCAAACTCAAGATCAAACTTGGAAATCTCCTCCTCAAACCTACAAGTCACTATACATATTTTGGCTTATCTCACCAACAACAAGAGCAATACTACTCAACGATTGCTACAACCATCTATGATTCATTACACGTCATCGCTCCTTAGTTACTGGGCCGATATTACCACATAGCATATCTCTACAACCCTCTATGATTCATTACATGACATCACTCATACTACCACATGACATATCTCTACCAACTAGAGGCCTAGGAGCATGAACGATAGCTCTAAAAGCTCCTACGAACCTCTATGATTCATTACATGTCATCGCTCTTTAGTTACCCACAAGATTGGTTAAGTTATGACATAATTTGTCTATAGGGGTACTCTGACCTTGGACCTCCTTTTACTTCCTATAGGCTACGAACCTAAGAGATGGTTCTATGGGATTCTCTTACGTCGACTACAGTTACCAAGCCTGGTAAGTCATGGAAAGTCTTGGAAAATGAGAGAACTACACTCCTTTAGCATAAATAGGATTGCCCTTTCCTTAAGAAAGGGCAAGCAGACTGTAAGGATGCCTCCTTACTCGGGGTAGTTACGGCCGTCACGTGGCGCCATCGAGACTCGGGGCCGTTACGGGTCAGTCGCGACTGACAGCCTTAGGCACATAACGTAAGGAAGCCTTAGGCAAACAGGGAGCTAGCTGAGTCGGAGCGGTTTCGGGTATTTTAAGGGAACAGCCATACAGGGTGACACCTTCATCTTTTTTGTATCCTTCGTAGTAGACCTATAGGATAGAATACAGCATCACCTCCGACTCGCACTCCCATATGCACCTACGGAGAGCCGTATTCCCTGTGTCCTTACATTATACAAAAAAGATCACGCCTGCCGGGGACGGCCGTACTTAAATAATATCCCACAACGGAACGACTCAGGAGAACTGTCAAAACACCACCGACCGCGACTCAGTGACATTTCGAAGTAGAGACCTGACGACTTCAAATAGCCGTGACCCCAGAGAACTCACGGACAACCAGTGGATCAGGGTTTGATCCTGCAGAGCAAGCTGGTAAAGTCGCCGACGCGTTGGCGCCGAATAGGATACGAGATCCTTAAGAACCCCCTCAAGCACAGAGACAATTGTGAACAAGAGTGTTGATAGCTACGAGCTACCGGAAGTCAAACTCTTTCGTATCGACACCGATACACTCCCGAACCAATATGAGGAAAATGACCTCAAACATCCCCCAAGACAATGATGGTCAACCGTCACGAATGTCAACGAGACAAACCACCGCTGCAGCTACGACCGCTGCACCCACCGATGACATACCGGATCGAATGGCAAACCTCGAGATCCAGATGCAAGAGATCAAGGAAATGATAGCCAACCTAGCGGCAACCCAGACCAGAATACCGTCCACGCCACAGGTGGACACCGTCGAAGTTGAGGAGCGACGAACTTCCCCTATGCGAAACACCCCCGAGACAGTTCAGTTGCCGCCTCTTCGAAACACTCGTTCTCCATCGATTCCGAGGATGTATTCCGAAGACCCTCCGAATCGCTACAAGAAATCCACCATCTCTGAGAAGATTACGCCGCTCAGCGATGGGATAGAACATACCTTTATGCAATGGAGCGCGTCCATTCGGGACCGCCTCGTAGTCAATGAGGATCACTACCCTACCGACGTCTCGAGAAGAGCGTTGATATGGGGGACTACGACTGGCCTGGCAAAGAAATACCTCGAACCCCAATACCTATCCGCGACACATGGGTTTCAGAGTGCCGACGAGATGATGGACCTGTTGGGGTTCATATTACCTCACTGGCAACGAAACGGAACAGGCCCGGAACCTCTTCGACGACCTCCAAATGGGAGAGAAAGGACATACCAACGAGACTTTCTCAGAGTTCAAAGCTCGCTTCCAAAGTGCAGCTATTACGGGACAGGTCACAGAGTCGGAATGGTTTCGGTACATGTGGAACAAGTTGACCCCTCAATTCCGTAGCCGCGTAGCGGTTATCAAAAGTCAATGGAAGGGAGACTACCACACTATGGTCCGAGAACTCACCGCCTTCGATCAGGAGCGACGCCGGAACAACGAGCTAAGCTTCCCGTCCAAGAGCGGCGAGTCGAGCTCCCGAGGACCCGCTCGTCTGAGCTCATCTAGGTTCACACCCGCTGAGCCCGGAAGAACCCAACCGCCGAGGCCTACAAGAAGCCCTCTGGTCTCCTTCCAGAGGACTCCTTTTACGCCCACGGCCCCCAAGCCGGACATTACAGGCCGCGTGCGGACCGCCGTGCCGGCTACGTCCGGGAACTGTTTCAAGTGCAGCAAGCCGGGCCATTTCCAAGACAAATGCCCGCTCAACCCCACCGTCAAGGAGATTGACCGCGAAGCCCCTGAGGACGAAGAGCAGTGGGAGGAAGCAGTCGCCCACCAGTCGGATGCGTCCCTGGAGGAAAACGACGAGGCCTAGGGAAAGGCTCCTTCCTAGGTCTACGCAAATGTGATCTGCAAGGACTGGATTTACGAGAGCTCTTGGGAGGCTCCCAATTTCTCGTTGATACAACCCTGAGTATGAACGGACTCGGGGTGCAAACGAAGTCACTCGCAGACACAGGAGCAAATGGCTACCTCGTCATTAATAAGCTTTTCGCGCAACGGTTGTCGAAAGCGCTTCAGAGCCCCATACGGAAACTGCCCTACTCTGTACCCATACGTGGATTTCAGCGAAATATCCAAAGCTACGTATCGGAGTATATTCGGTTACACTTGACAGTCGAAGGACGCCGAATATATAACTGCCCCTTTGTGCTCCTAGATCTCGGAGCGCAAGATGTGATAATTGGGAAGAAGCTTTTTAGCCGCTTCCGAATCCTACTCGACTCTGCAAAGAGCCTGCTAGTATGGCCAAAGGAGTACCCGCCTACTCCTAGCTGGAGCAAAGAGATCACCTTGCCCTACCACTCGCGTGAACTGTCTATACGTCACCCCGCCCATCAATCGGATGCGAACCGGCGGGACGATGCCATCGACCATGACGACAGATGACGTGAGGGCGGACGCTCGATACCAATGAAAGTGATAACGGCCCATCGTGACGCTATTATGATCACCCCACCGAGCCCGGTGCGAGACGAGGGAACGACCCACCCGCACCCCAAAACCCCAAGGACACGAGCCTCGCCCGTGGAAACCTATAAAGACGGACCCTTAGGGCAAGTGGAGACGAAACCTCCAAGAAACGGACCATCCGCATATGAGAGAAAGAATCATGGGAGGAGCGGAGTCTTCTCTCTTTCCCGACACCAGACCCTGGTACGCAGCTTCACGCCGGTCCAAATTTGCGAGATTGGCGCAAACGCTTTCCACTATGAGATGATGCGAAGCGACTCCGAGTTCTTTACGACAAGCATCTACGAGATCGACCAGATCATCCGAGAGAGGGAAGCGGCCGAGGACGAGGAAACGCTCCGCCTCATTCGGGACAAGCTTCCGCATATGCACCGCAACTATTCCGATGTCTTCTCGAAGTCGGAATCTGATCAGCTTCCCCCGCATCGCATATACGATCACAAGATACAACTAGAAGCCCCTTTACCAAATGCCTTTTCGCCACTATACCGACAAAGCACCGAAGAGCTTAAGGCGACTAAGCAATACCTATTAGAGAACCTCGAGAAGGGCTTTATAGTCAATAGCAATAGCCCGTTTGCCTCCCCTATACTGTTCGTGAAGAAGGCAGATGGCAAACTGAGATTTTGTATCGACTACCGGAAGTTGAACGGACTTACCCGTAACGACCCCTACCCTATCCCGCGTATCGACGAACTACTAGGACGGGTGTCGAAAGCAAAAATCTTCACGAAGCTAGACATTAGGCAAGCCTTCCATCGTATACGAATGGACCCCGACTCCGAGGAGTACACGACCTTCCGGACTCGGTATGGATCCTACAAATGCAAAGTGCTGCCGTTTGGCCTAACGAACGGCCCCGCAACCTATCAGAGGTATATGAACGACGTTCTTATGCAATACTTGGACGACTTCTGTACTGCCTACCTAGACGACATCCTAATCTACTCCGAGGACCCCGCGGAACACATGGACCACGTACATAAGGTCCTCCAACGGCTTCGAGAAGCAGGACTACAAGCCGACATTAAGAAATGCGAGTTCAACGTAACCCGGACAAAGTATTTAGGCTATATCCTGACTACTACCGGTGTCGAAGCGGATCCCGAGAAGATCGAACCCCTCCGGAATTGGATCCGGCCAACAACTGTCACAGGCGTGAAGTCTTACCTTGGATTCTGCGGCTTCTACCGCCAATTTATCAGAAATTTCGGGAAAATAGCCAAGCCTCTCACCACTATCACCAGCCCCTCAGAACCGTTCCTGTGGACTGACGAATGTGAGAACGCTTTTGAAGAAATGCGCCGACAGCTTTTAGCCGTGCAGGCGCTCCACCACTTCAACCCCGAATTGCCTACGAAGCTGGAAACAGACTCTTCTGATGGAGTCGTAGCTGGTGTCCTTTCTCAGGAACACCCCGACAAGCGATGGTATCCTGTAAGCTTCTACAGTCACGTCCTATCTGGGCATGAGATCAATTGGGAGATCCACGACAAGGAACTGTTCGCCATCGTCAAAGCGTTCGCAAAATGGAGGCCAGAATTAGCATCGGTACGCCACTGAATCGACGTCTATACAGATCACCGATCGCTGGAATACTTCATGTCGATGAAGGTTCTCACGGCGAAGCAGGTTCGGTGGATGGAGCTACTCTCCGACTTCAATTTCTCTATTGCGTATACTGCTGGCAAGAACAATCAGAAGGCAGATATACTGAGCCGAAGAGAGCAAGACCTGATTACGCAACAGAAGGTCAAACTCGACAGCCGTGCGAGGGTGCTGTTAGGCCCAGCCCGACTACACTCCCGAATCAGTGCCGAATTAGCACAAACGTACGTGGCCTCGATCAATGCGATGGACGCCCCGAACACCCAGGTCCCCTTTGACCTGATAGAAGCGCTCTGCGCGGATAATAGGAGGTCGTTTACCGACACTCGCGTGAAAGACCCCCTACCTAACGGGTTTATAATGAAGGACCAACTCTTGCTATACAAAGGTCGACTGTGCGTAAACCGGCACACCGAGTTATGTACGAAACTCATACGGGAAGCACACGATCAAGTATCAGTAGCCCACCCTAGTGGCAGGAAAACTTATCAGTTACTCGCCCCGAAGTATCATTGGGTCGGAATGGAAGCGGATTGCCTCCGATATGTGCGCAACTGCGTGATGTGCCGACTTTCTCACACTAGCGTGACGAAGCAGCAAGGCTTCTTACACCCCCTACCGGTACCCGAATACCCCATGCAACACCTAACGATGGACTTTAAGGAATTCCCAAAGGATAAACACGGATTCGACAGCATCCTTGTGTTCATGGACCGACTCGGTAAGGGTTCGGTGTCCATACCGTGTCATAAGACCACCGATGCCCGCCAAATGGCGCAGCTATTCATCGAATGGATATATCGATTCGGACACACCCCAGAGTCGATCATTAGTGATCGCGGACCCCAATTCATATCAGCTTTCTGGCGAGAGTTCTGCCGAATCATAGGGGTCAAGATTAAGCTGTCGACAGCCTATCACAAGCAGACCGACGGGCAGACGGAAATCATGAATAGGTATATCGATCAGAGACTGAGGCCCTTCGTATCACATTACCAGGATAACTGGAGCGAGCTCATTCCCATCATGGATCGGGTGCAAATGACCCTTCCCCATGCCTCGATCGGAATGACCCCCTACCGACTCAAGTACGGAACTGATCCGCGCACCAGTTGGGACTGGGAAACCCCGAAAGCCACGACCCCTAGGGAAGTCATGAACCAGAAGGAAGCCAAAGCAGTAGCAAACCGCATGCACTCCGCATGGATTTACGCAAAGGAGAACATGGCCAAAGCACAAGAGGATATGTCTAAATACGCAAATCGACGCCGACGAGCCATTGACTGGGACGTAGGAGACAAGGTTTACCTATCGACCAAGAATCTGAAAAATCACCGCCCTAGCCGTAAGCTGGGGCAACAATGGGTCGGACCCTATACGGTACTGGAACAAATCGGACACGCCTTCCGACTAGACCTACCGAAGGGTTCCCAAATACACGATGTCTTCTCTCCAGACGTACTCATCAAGGCTCCGAATAACCCGCTGCCCGGTCAAGCAGCGCCTGAGCCAAGCAGCGAAGTCGTAGACGGCCTAGAGGAGTGGGAGGTCGAAAAGATCCTCGCCATAAGGATCCGGCGAAGACAACTTCAATACCAGGTATCCTGGGTCGGATACGATCCGGACCCGGAATGGTACCCCGCCTCAAACTTTAAGAACTCCCCCTACAAAATCCGGGAGTTCCACGCGGAGTACCCAAACCTGCCAGGACCGCCGCAGGACCTACCCGGCTGGATCACGGAATGGGAGACAGGCAAACCAAGCTACGATCACGAGAGGCACGGCAAAGCAGAGGAAAACAGCGTCGTTGCTACCTACGACACTAAACTAAACACCCTCTAAGCCAGGGCACCCTCAGAGCCGTAGCCCTTGCGGAAGCCACCCTTCCCAAACGTCTCACCGGCGTCGCAACAAGCGGCTACCACCATGAGAGACGAAGGGTCGAAGTGACCCCACGCGAAAGACCACGCCCGAGTTCCCTCCGACACAGGGCCTATCACCCAAGGTCGACGGTCACCCCCTCCTCCTCCACCTCCGCCCCCCTCTTCCTCTTCTTCCCCCCACCACCGCCCACCTTCACCGCCGCGGCGAGGACGTCGGGGATCCTCTCCACCAACTCCCCCACTCCGCATCCACCGCAGAAGCCACCCCATCAAGGGCAGCGATCTCCTTCTCCTGGTTCACCAGGATCAGGGCCGATTTCTGGCCCACGACGGCCACGGCCTGGCGGACCCGCTACGGTCGTCAGCGCGAGAACCAAAAACACACAAGGGAAACGGAAAACTTACCTCCAGACCGTCCTCGACGGCGGCGCGGAGGGCGCAACTCTCCATATAGGCCGAAAGCTCGGCCGGGGAGCGGAACTTCGGCATATTGGCGGTGGCCAATGTGACCACACGCCCAATCTCCGCCGCAGCAGCCTTGATGGCGGCGGGACGGGAGGGGTTGCTGCCTCGGTAGCCAGGAGCTTCTGGTACTCCGGGCCAGCAAACCAGGAGATCTATCTCCAGAGGTCAGCGACGGGCAGACAGACAAACCACAAAACCGAAAACCAAACGAGAACCCACCGGAACACACGTTGCGTGTTGGGCCACGCAGCGCTCACACTTGGAGCTTTCCAAGCTCCACACACACGAGACGGCGGGATCTCCGTCCTTCTTGCGCCCTTTGGCGCGCACGCAGCGCATACACTGCTGGCGGAAAGCCACAGTGAGGGCGCCGGGAGGAGGGGGA